GAGGTTGGGGAGAGCCTGGGCAAGGTGGGGGCTCAGGCAGCTGTGGCTGCTGGCTGTGTTTAGCAGCGGGGTCGGCGGAGCAGCAGCAGCAAGCCCTGGGGCAGGGTGATGGGGCAGCAGCAGGTCATTCCTGAATCCCGGCCCGATCTGGGCACAGTGAAACTGGGACAGCTCTGTAAATCCCTGGGCTGAAAACTTGGGGACCCCCATGCCAGGCAGCTAAACCCTCCTTATAGAGGGGCCAGATGGCACCTGGCAAAGGAGTTGGCCCGGAGATGGCCACCCTAGGGCATGGGATGGGATAGCAGGGATGGGGATGAGGACGGGGACACAAGCCCAGCCCAGCACCCTGCCTGTCTCCAGGGTCCAAACACCCATCACGGCCCCGTCTCGGTTTCATTGCAGAGCCAGGACTGGACCAAGAACGATGAGAAGCTCCTGCAAGCTGTGGATTACAACGATGCCGGGAGGGTGACATCACTCCTCGTCCGCAAGGGGCTGGTCGCCACCAAGTTGGACTCGGAGGGCAAATCCGCGTGAGTGCTGACCTGTATCCTCCTGTCCCTGTGTCCACCCCGGTGCAGGCTGCTGGGCTCTCCTGGTCCCCTGAGCCACCCAGCGCTGCTCCTCGGGGCTTGCCGGGGGTTGGGGACATGGGGCTGATGGCCCTGGGCCTTGCTGCAGGTTCCACCTGGCCGCCATGCGGGGGAACGTGGACTGCCTCGAAGCCATGCTGGCCCACGGCGTGGATGCCATGACCAAGGACAGCTCAGGTGAGGGGCATGGCCACTGCACCCAGCTTCCCTCGTCCCCCCTCTTTTCCTCTCCGGGTAATGCTGTGGACCGCCTTGGGCCCCTGACACTCCCCAGTCCTTCCTACCCGACCGGCAGGTGCCAAGGCTGTGGAGACAGAGGTGATGGCCACATGGGCTGTAAATCAATGCTCAAGGAGGGTCCTAGCTGCCAACAGGCACCTGAACCCTGGCCCATGGTGTTCCCAGGGGTGCCTCGTCCCTGCTCAGCCCCAGCCCTGCAGGGTGCTGGGCTTTCCTGGCGCCCTGAGCCACCTCATGATGTTCCCCAGAGCTCCCGGGGCAGAGGGTAGGGGATGACCGCCTGTGTGCTTGTCTGTCTGTCCCCCAACCCATCCGTCTGCCACCGCCCTGTCCGTCTGACCGTAACCTGTCTGTGTCCCTCTCCCCAGGTTACACTGCCCTGCACTTGGCATCCAAGCATGGCCACCCGCAATGTGTCAGCAAGCTGCTGCAGGTAATGGGGCCTGGGTGCACGGCGCCGCGAGGGAGGCAGGGTGCCATGCCCTGTGCCATGCCCGACTCGGCCCCTTGCTCCAAGGGCACAGCCAGGCCCAACCTGCCTCGTCCTCCCTGCATCCCTGGGATGGCCACGCTCCCGTCCCTCTGCAGTGGCGTTGGTCGGCATGGTGGTGCCTGGCTCTGGCCAGCACCATGTGGTTTGGGGCTGGTGATGATGCTCTTCCACCACCAAGGAGCTCAAAGTGCCCCACAGTCCTGGCCCCTCAGGCAATCCACCCCATTCTCCTGTAACCCAGGCCCTCTCCCTCAGGCCTCCTGCCCCGTGGACGTGCCTGATGGCAGCGGCCGGACGGCACTGCACCACGCAGGTGAGTGGGGACGATGCCACCCCATCCTGCTCGCATCCCTGCAGGAGGCAATACTCAGCCTCTGTCCTTCTCCCCAGCTGTCAGCGGCTGCATCTCGTGCTCGGAGATCCTCTGCGATTTCAAGGCTCCATTGAACATCAAGGACAAGGTGAGATCCCTCTGCTCAGCACCTGCTGTTGTATGGAGGTCAAGTCCTCCGGCAGTGATTAAACTCTACTGGGCCAGGTGATGCTGCTGCGTAGAGCAGCCAAGGGCCAGGCTGAGGCTGCCTCTGAAATGTGGCCACTTCTGGGGTGGGACACAGCAGCTAACTGCTGGCAGCACCTGGGGTCCCTGGGGTGCTGCTGTGAAAACACACTGCCCCTGCCCAGGATGGCTTCACGCCGCTGATCCTTGCTGCCAAGATGAGCCACTCAGAGCTGTGCCGGTACCTGCTGCACCGTGGAGCGGCCGTGAACAGCCGGGACCTGCAAGGGAGGTGAGTCCCCCCCGAAGGGGACGGGGGGCCGACGGAGCGGACCGGACCCCTCACCTCTCCTCTCGTGGCTCTCCAGAACAGCCTTGATGCTGGCCTGCGAGAACGGCAGCGTGGAGACCGTGGAGGTGCTCATCAACGCGGGCGCCCGGGTGGCTGTGGTGGACTCCATGGGCCACGACGCAGCTCACTACAGCCTGGCCACAGGCAATGCTCTCATCCAGCACTTCCTGCAGGAGGCCACCCAGCGCCGGTCCTGGGCCAGCGGTAAGGCGGCCACGCCGGCCTGAGCGCTCCCCGTCCTCGAGGGACTGCCCCACGGATGTGTTTTCCCCCTGCACGGTGCTTTGGGGCAGCTGCCTCCCAGGAAGTCTTGTCCGTGACTTACAGAGCATGGCCAGCCCTGAGCAGGGCTGGGCGAACACGTGTTCCCTTTCCCCATGAGCTTGGGGTGCTTTCACCCATGCTGTCACCAGCCGAGGGCTGGGAGGTGGTACTGAGCCTGGATCTGCCTGTCCCAGTGCCTTAATGAACTTGCACACATGTGTTTGCACATGCATTTGCAAGCATGGGGGTATACACAGGTGTGTGTATCAGAAAATGCATTTGTACATGTCTGCACACGCATGCACACGTGTGTGCGTCCCCATGCGTGCACAGACGTGCATGTATCCCTGTGAGTGTGCGTCCCGGTGTGAGCCCCTGCAGCTCTGCCCCTGCACCCATGCCAGGCTCTGCCTGCCTTTCCCACCCCCAGGAGCCTCTAACCTCCCCGTTTCCCTTTCCTCTCTCTCTGGCGCACGGAAGAGGAGTCAGCTGAGCAGACGTCCCAGGTAAGGCCCTGCCTGGCCTCTCCTCGGGGCTGGCCTGGCTGCCGGGCCCTAGCACGGAGAGGACGGGAGCTTGGACGTCCCTGGGGCTCTTAGGAGCGGTGATGGGCTAGGAAGGAGAGAGGCTGGTTTAGATGTGACGTCTCCTCTGCTCCGGTGTCTCCGCAGACGTCTTCCCCCAGCCAGTCCACAGGCAGGGAGAAGAGCAACACCCCGAGGAAGAGGAAAGCCCCCCTGCCGCCCCCAGGCACCCCAAGCCAGGTGAGAGACGGTGTCCCCCCAGCCCGGCTGGCACAGGGCAATGAGCAACCCTTTGGAGTGACTCCTTCGGGTACTCCACTTTGCCCACCCCGGGCTGTGCAAGGTGCCCCCTCCCTGCGATAGGGATGACACTTCCCGGCTGGGCTCAGATCCCATGGAGGCTTTGTCCCTACCCCTGGGCTGCACCTCAACGGATGAGTCCCAGCCCCAGAGGGGGCCAGGAGCCTCCCTTGCAGAGAGGGAAAACTGAGGCACGAAGCAACAGCACGTCTGGGTATCACCCCCCCACCCCCTGTGCCCCTGCTGCCTGCAAGGCACTGGGCATCAGCCCATTTCCACCCACGCCACGGCCCTGAAACACCCCTTCGCTGGCATGGCAGAGAGCCGTGCGCACGCTGACACCGCGGTCAGGGGCTGGGCCCGGGGCACC